ATATGCGTTTTTGCTGCCTGTTGCAGCGCTCTAGCGCTGCACGGCAAAAACGCATAAAAAGCCAAACCCTGAAATGATGCTTTTTACTCAACATTTTCGCTTAATTCCCGTCTGAATACAGTTTTTTGCAGTCTCCTGTACAGCGGCTCGTTTTTTTTTTGTGCATCGATAAAGCCGAACAACCGCCCGAACTTGCCTCTTTAGCAATTCTTTTTGTTCTAGGTCTCATTGATGCGAGTGGAATTTGATTCCCTGTTGTTCTTGTTTGATGTTTACCAAATACTTTCTTTGTGAAACATTTAATGAATTTTAAAAAAAAGATGCACTGTGAATTGGTGGTTCGTGTTGAGGGCAGTATCTGTTGCGGTTACCTGTGAAAGCCGGCAGTAATTGTGAAATTTGTGCGTTGCTTGTAGTTAAACAGTTTAAAGTATACATATATATATATATATTTAGTGTATATGTATATGTGTATTATTGTATGTATGTATGTATGTATGTATGTATGTATGTATGTATGTATGTATGTATGTATGTACGTATGTATGTATGTATGTATGTATGTATGTATGTATGTATGTATGTATGTATGTATGTATGTTTGTATGTATGCATGTATTGGTTGCCTTACATATAGATTCAGAAGCTCCATCTGCTTGATGTGGAGTGCAAAGATCGGTAGTGACCGTAGTGTTCTTTTTTTGGTTCCAATATAGTGAAAGTAGGCAATTCGATTCCGTCTTTATCTATATATTCTGCAAAAAAAGGTAGCGTTCACGATAGATTTATCTCTCTGTTGATTCATTCTTTTAAATTTCAGTCACAGTTCAAGCGAGCAATCACGTCACTGTTAGCTTTCACCGGTGCTGTCAAAAAGCTGACGGAGGATGAAATGAAGCCTTATGAAAAAATTATTGCAATGGCCAGTGCGCTACTTGATAAATTGATGAAAAACTGCCCCAGCAAAAGCACTGAAATTGAAAAATTATCAAACGAAAGTATTCGGTTTGTTTCCTTCCTGTGCTTTTGTTTTCTCTTTCCTTTTTCCTATTCTTAAATATTTCTTTTTCTTTTTAAAAAATGTGAATTTAAATTAAAAAACAAAATTTGAAAATGTTCCTTTTTTTGAACCATTTTCACCTTGCTTATTTTAAGCAATTTTTTTTTCGGAAAGATTGAACTGTTAGCTGATTTGATGAGAGAGTTAGCTCCTTGTACTTGCGATTCTTTTCCACCTTTTACGCAGAAGATGAAGCATGAGGGGAGTTTTGTCTTGATTTTTTTTTTCGTCCCATACACGAGAATTTTATGTTCTATGGAATTGTTGATTTTCACATATTCGGTTTTGTACTTATCAAAATGACAAAATAGTCCCAAAGATATTACTAAATGATCTAATTTTTCTCAGAGATGATCAGTTAGCATTTCTTAAATTGATATTTTCAGGGCGAGTTTCGATAAGAAAGCGAAGATTGCGGAGCGCGATGCGAAAATCTCGCTTCAAGATATTTTAACTGATCTTTCGTCGGATGAAGAATCTGTTCGTGGGCATGGTTTGATCATGTTGGCAAGGGGAATTCGAAAACGATGTGAAATGTTGTTGGATCAAATCAATTCCGAGCCAAATATTATGCGTATAGTTATGAGTGCGTTCAAATTTTCGCAATCTTACGGGCTTTTCAAAATTTTAATGTGTTGAGAGGATGGACCCACTCTATGGTCCTCCTCCTCCCCCGACCCGCTCTCCTCCCTTTCCCGCCTTAATGCTGTTGTCAGTGTCTTCCATATATACAGCCAACCTGTTTAGGATTTATTTATCCGTTTCGATGGTAAGCCGATTGTAGCATCCTGGTTGACCCTAGAAA